CCCAGGGCGGCGGAGGTAACAAATGTAAGCCAACGGAGCTCACGTCCGCGGAATACGGGTAACGAGTTCGTAAAGGGAAAACGGGAGATTTTGCAAACACGTTAATATAACTGGATGGAATGACCTGAGACGAAAGGAAGGCTTCACACATTTTCATGTATCCAGTGTGATCAAGTGCATTGGAAAAACCGGCAAGACGCCAAGAATCACAGGCACCTCGCGCCTCACCTCGCAGCCAAAGGTGTCCGGGGCGGATCATCCCGGAGCGGCTAGCCCCGGGGCCGACGGAACTGCGGCGGTTCACTGCGGAGCGGCCCACCCTGTGGCCCGGCAGCCCACCCCGGAGCCACTGGAGCCAAGACCGCCCACACGGCACCCCATGCGTCCCGCCGCCCGGAGTCTCACCCCGGTGCCCGGAGCGTCTCAGCCCGGAGTCCGGAGCGTCTCACCTGGTCAGCGACTGCATGTAGTCGTGGTCGTGCACGCTGAAGCGCTCTCGCAGGTTGCGGAACACCAACGGACAGTACTCCTTCACCTTGAAGTGACTCGGCATGTTCTCCCTGCGGAACACCGCACCGGCGTGAGACTCACAAACAATACGACCTCTCGTAAAAACGGACACCTTCCTAATCACCATTGTTTACGTGTATACCGTCTGTACAATCAGGGACGCTTAGGCACCTTCAGTTGCAAATGACACGTTAGTGATGATGCGATGCTTTCTGTCAACACCGACGCGTTAAAAGGGGCGTTTTGCTTGAATAGCATTATATTCAAGCCAGGGACTTCCGCAATCTATTTCACTACTGCATCACAAGTCGGCAGCCACGCAAAAAAAAAAAAACTAATGAGAAACAAGCTCGGTCAGCGTAACTGAAAATTTTGCACAACAAAGGTTACTTTTCACGTGTCAGTGGAAGTCAACCGTGAACATAAGCAGTATGCACGACAAAACAAAATACCTGGATTTCACAACACCCCTACTGCAAAAAAAAAACGTTTTAAACGAAAATATAATTTAGACAAACCTAATAAGCAAACCAATTTTTCAAAAAGGTCCCCCGAAGGTCATGTAACTTTCCATGAACAGCAGTAAAATGGAGAAATGATACGTACAATACAACCCTAAATTATGTACTATCACGACCCGATGCCGTATATTGGCACTATGTTTTGTGCGCACTTTTCATACCACCTTGAGAGAAAACCGAGCTCGACCTACCCGCCGGCCGGCTCCTGTCGACAATGACATACGTCAGCGGTCTGCGCTTCGCTGCCTCAGCCGCAGCGGCGTAACGTTATATTATCCTGGCATGGGGACATTTGATCGGCGTGGGGGAGGGGAGGGGGAGGGTAGGGGCGGGGTCGGCCACGTCACGCGGAGTCGGTGTCACTGATGGCGAGCGCAGGCACCCGCCGGGCCGCTTCCCGTTCCTGCCCTCTCTTCTGTATCGTGCCACTGGGCTGATTGGCAAACACCTACATCGCGGCACTGTGCTGATTGACATATAATATCGGTGGGTGACTCCTCCTTCCATGACAACGTGAGATCGAGAAAAAAAAAAACAGACCGCTTGCCAGCGCTTGTTGCGCAGGCCTCGAACCCTATAACCGTCCGATCGCGCACTCCGGGTAACGGGAGAACTTTCAGATGCCCTAGTTCAGCGTGTCCATCAAAGCCGGACACGGCCTGTCCCACTGAACTGACATCAACTGGCTGTGGTTGCTTCGACCCACTACAGACCATCCCCATCAATACATAGTCTCATATAGGTATCAGGTGCTGGAGCGACTCAAACCTGAGCTCTCACCACCGGTAGTCCGACGCTTCATAAACTAAGCTACAGGAGCAGGGCACCTGATGTCTGATGATTTCCTCGACAGACCTGACTTACCCAAAAAGCACAAACGCCTGATACCTGATACCTGATATTTGGGGATCATTGAAGGCACTAGGATTGCCCGGTGGATCCATCGTAACTCGTAGAGAGCTCGGGTGGCATTAACACATTACTTTTTTAACAGACAGGTGTGGTACTTTGAAATCAGGAGCCCAACATGGCATAGAAAACCTCATTAAGAGGTTACAGCAGGTCCCTAATTTCTAGCAGGCCATTATGACCTGACCTGGAAGGCTATAAAACTGCACCTAGGATGACTTTAAAAAACACATAAGTAGCCTATAGGTACCACTGTGGTAGCCTACGTAGTCTACATATGCCCCTAGGACAATAATTTTTAACACCATGAGCTTCCTCCCATCACCATTCACAAGAATTGCACTTGCTTTTACCACAAAGATCTAGCTGAGAAAAGTGAAAACTGATAAGCAATCTGACTGACCCCATTCATATTAGTAGTAGTGAAAGCAACAATACAATAAGGGGTTAAAATCCTGGAATTAATGTTAACAATATCTCCATTAGTATACCTGCACTTAAATTGCAGGCAGGCTGCCTAAAAATAAATACACAAATAGCATTTAGTGCTAATTGGTACTTACTTGTTGAATAGGTAGTTGTCCACTCTGATTTTGGAGAATGACTTGAAGTCATCTGGCATCAGCATGACTGGGATGTTGATGTGGGTGAGCTGATTGATCTGTGGGAAATCACCAGAATAAGTCAAACAGTGAAACAGGTGTGCATTGACCAGAAAAACACATGGAAAATATAGCCATTCATACTTAATGCAGGGGGATAACATCTAATGGCAAATAGTTTTCACAGAATCATCGCAGCAAAGCATAACAACTGAGCTGATTGCCAAATGCATTATCATGTCATGCAAATGGTAGGGGAGTCCTATGGTTGCTCAACATGCAAATAAAATAAAGATACTTACAGTGTGATTGACACCCCACATGAGAACTGATAGTAGGGGTTCATTTGCCCTGAATAGTTTCACTTTTTGGTGCTTAGGGCGCATATGCTTCTTTTTAAACTTTGACCCAAAATTTGAAACAGATGGAGATGACATTTCGAAATAGAAAATGTAGCTCAAGAATAATACAACAAAACGAGGCCACGTTATGACAGCTCAAATCTAGCAGGATTCCAAGAAATAGACTGTTTAAGCGCTTTCGGTCTTGGTCTTTCTTCAGCAGACGTCCTGCTTTGGCTCCCAATTAAAAACACTGCCACTCAGCACCTAATACAAACACGGACACACGGCCACCACGCCAACGCGCAGTCATGCCTGAATAATTATTTTGCAAAATGCACAGTACACCATAATCGATCCAACCAATGCATCGCCCAGAGACGTGAGACGGGGCCGCATTCTCGCGCAGTTCTCGCGCTTCCTTCGCTTCCCTCCTAAGTTTGGCAGTCAGTCTTTAAAAAAAGAGACATTTTCCTAGAGAGACTGTGACAAAATCTCTCAAAAGTGTTAAGATTTGACAATCTTCAAAATCAATAAAATAGCCAACGATTGGAATCTCACTACATTGACTCACTTCTCAAAGATCAGCTGTCAAACATAACATTGATGATGTTTCAAAAAATTTAAAAGAGTTTCCTTGGGAATTCTCTGGGATTATTTCTTCAGTTATCTTTCCGACTTTTCTGAAAGTCTCTACGGGTGTCTGAAAACGATCTATGAAATAAATCTATCAGAGTCTTCAAAAAAGCACGAAACACTTAGCATAATTTTATTTCAGCACTTATCCTTTAATACGCTCAAATCTTTTTAAGGAAATAAATGGGATTTTCATGTTTTAAATACACGGAAATGTATTTAGTTTGATTATGTTATAGTGTCAAAGTAACGCATTTATAATTTGACTACCTTTTCCTAGTTGTTTTGTCACTGCAGCGTATTTGTTGTAGACAAAAGCTATTGCTCATGCAAGTGTTCATAGCACAGCATATACGGGCGCTGTTCGGCAGCCGGCTATTTTGTGTGCAGGGTATGACGCATTCCGCGAGCCGACGTCACGGGCGATGACGTCGGCTCGCGCGCGAGCCGAGCGCCAACGACAAACTAACGGGAACCGTCGGACACCCTCGGGGCATAAACCGCGGAGTAGCATATTGAGCGAGTCTTATCAGGGAAATTCATACATTTTCGTTTCTCAAATGATAATCAGGGTGTCTCTTACCTTTTTACGTATCTTTTAGGCTTACCTAACTCTTCAGTTGCCAAATATCTGCAATTTATTCAAACGAAGGTATTTTCAGTAAATATCAATGCTATAGACCGAAATCTTTTGAAGAAAAACTCCAACCAATAGAAATAAAAATAACTTATTTTATTACAACCATTTCCTCCAAATTAACAACATAAAAACTCACTTTTACACACATCATTCATAATAAAGTACACTAACACGCCGCTTTTGACAATTGCGGCGTCGAGTGGCGCGCTGCTAGCGCTCTTTTTCGATCGCAGAGACCCTGCACGCGCGCGAGCACACTACGTCACGTCCGGGGCCCTGTTTCACCGGTGATAGCAGCACGCTGCTATCACACGTGTCAAATTGGGTTTCCATGGAAACATCAATAAACCATTACGTCGTCAATCTGTATGATGTCATCAACTATTGCTGCTTACATCTTCACGGCCGTGCGATCAAACAAATGTATCAAACGCAATTCAACGAGACAGCAACTCTGTTCCAAACGCAGCTCACGGATTACACGAAACGTCATTAGTGTGACCTCATCACATTACGTCAGCTCGCGCAATTTGATAGTAGCTTGCTGCTATCACCGGTGAAACAGGGCCCGGGGGGCACAGGTATATGAAAAATCGCAGTGACGTAACACTTTTCTCGCTTCTCATTGGTCAATAGCCCGTTGCCGGGGTAACGTGCACGTATGTGAGCGCCGGCAAGAGTACTAGCCGGCCGCCGATCAGGGCCCGGTCTTGGCCAGGGTCTTGGCGAGAACTCCGTCTTGGCATAGCATAGCAAGAAGAGTTCATTGGTTCATAGGGTTCATAGGCGGCAGCGGTAGCGGTAATAAAACGGTAGCGGCTGGCGCGGCATCTTTTGATATCTTGCAGTGAAATGGTTATTATATATGTTTCTGTGAAATACGCACATCAGGTGTTTCTCTGTAAATGTAAAAAGGTCAAAGTGTACAGTGAGTATATTCTGTAAAAGATAAGTGAATTTTACTTCTCTCAGTGGAACTTGGAACAGGGACCAGTGGACGTTATTGGTACTGCAGTTTTATAACATTTCATGCGAGTTAAAGGGACCCTCCCACCTTCAAAAAAGTTTATGAATTGGCATGAAAGTGATGTCGCTCGGTTCAGAAAGAGCGAAAACGAATATCTATCGAATTTCACCGAAAAATATTCACAGGTTTTCAAGATATTAGACTTTTACTTTTGTTTACTTTTTGGGATCTCCGCTGTTCCTAGCGACTTTATTTGGGAGCAATAGTTTGGCAGCTGAAAGTGCGGCACTTGTTGCGCGCAAAGCAGCATATGCCACCGCGTGCTACAAAACGTTTCAGTCAAACATTTAAAAATCGTTAAATATCTGCGCTGACGTCACACATTCAGAGGGGTATTCCTATGCATTAGCCCCTCTGAATCAAAATGCTGCAATTTTGAAATTCAATATTTCCGATTTAAGACATTTCTTGATGTTGTGAGTGCCGAAACCGGTAATTGTGAGCCAGGGACCCCATTTTGGCTATCTCAACTCAAATCTAATGTTAAGGTGGGAGGGTCCCTTTAACTGCAACATGTTATCCATAAACACTGGAAAAGTCAACACTTAAACAACCCTTGGCCAGCACATCAATCCGCATTTTGTATCTCCAATTATCATCACAGTTCTCATTTGTTCAAAAAAGTTGTCATATTTTAAACCTCAGTTAACCTAAAAATGGTTTCACCCTCTCTAGCAAATCAAATATGTCAGTGAACTCTGGGGCAACATTTAAGATCCATACCTATTCCGTTGATTTTTATGACTGGAACAGAAGTGGGTGTCAAACTGCCAAAAACAACCATGCATGGTGATTACCCACAAAACCCAATCATACATCTTTTGCCTGCATTAGACAACTGAAACTTCATGCCACATCATGATGTAGATCAAGTTAAAACACAAAGATTTTCTACCAAGCTAACTTCTCATTGGAATACCATGTAGTGAGATACATACTAATACTTCATTGCAACCAGCATAAGCTCTTGATAAAAATTTTCCAATACTCACCTCATTTGTGTTGTTCTTGTCTTTTTTCAACAAGTGATATTTTGCTCTCTGTAATATGGCCTCATGGCAGCTTTGACTGAAAATGAGTGCCTATTTACCTTACCTTACCTTACCTTCGTGGTGATCGGGATTGAAAAGGCCACTTGGCCTGGGGATCCCGCTCTCATCGAGCTCGTGTCGGGATACAGGCTAGGCTCTCAGGGATAGGGGGTGTCGTACATGATGCCACCCCAGTGCTTGTCCAGCTGGGCCTTGAACTGGTTGACGGACTGTGCCGTGACCACTGCACTTGGTAGGGAGTTCCAGTCGTTGATGACCCTGAAGCTGAACGCGTTTCTGCGCACGAGTTTGGTGGCCCTCGGTTTCTCGAGCTTCCACTCGTGGCCCCTGGTTCGAGCTGAGTTGCTCTGGGTCAAGAAGCTTTCTGGCGATATGGCCAACCCTCCGTGCAGCAGCTGATATACGGTCACCATGTCGCCTCTGCGCCTCCGGTAGTAGAGTGATAGTAGTCCCAGTCGACGGAGTCGTTCAGGGTACGGGAGGTGCTTGATTTGTGCGACCATTGTTGTTGCACGACGTTGCACGCGTTCAAGCCTCTTCTGGTCCTCTTTCCCAAAAGGTCCCCAGATTGTGTTCCCATATTCTAGGAGGGGCCGAACCATGGTCTTGTAAAGAAGCGGCAGCGTGTGTTCGTCAATGTTGGCGAATGAGCGTCTCACGACGGCCAGAATCTGTGAGGCTTTAGCAACGGCTGACGCGGTCTGCTTGTGAAAACTGAGTTGGTTGTCGATTTCGATGCCGAGGTCTTTCTCCTCTTCAGCGTTCTGGATCAGGATGCCGTTCAAATAGTACGCATGTTCCGGGTTCCGGTGGCCGAGGTGCATCGCCTTGCATTTTTGGGCATTGAAAGGGAGCAGCCACTTCTCAGACCAGCGGACGAGCGCATCGATGTCAGTCTGGAGGTCATTGCTGCTACCCAGGACGCGGCGAACAGTTTGACCGAACCAGTGACCTCCGAGGGAAGATCGTTGACAAATATTGTGAACAGTACAGGTCCGAGCACCGATCCCTGTGGAATACCACTGGTCACAGGGGCCCATGAGGACTTGCATCCGTGGACCACAACCCTCTGTCGGCGATCGATCAGAAAGGCTGCGATCCAGTTGAGAAGCGGGCCCCGGACGCCGTATGCAAACAGCTTGCGGATCAAACGTTGGTGCGGCACAGAGTCGAACGCCTTGGCGAAGTCCAGGTAGATGATGTCGATGTTGTCTTTGTTTTCGATGGCGGTGCTCCAGTCCTCGATTGCCTCCATCACTTGTGTCGTACACGACCTCTTTGGGAGGAAGCCGTGCTGGGCGCTGGAGAGCAGACCGTTTTCGCGGAAATGTTGGAGGAGGGCGTCTCGGACAATTGATTCGAGGACTTTGACAGGAATGGCAGTCAGAGTGATTGGACGATAGCTTGAGGGGCGTTGGCGGTCACCCTTCTTGAAGATCAGGGTGATCTCGCCTGTCTTCCAGTCCGAGGGAAGCGACCCAGTGTCCAAAGACTTGCGGAACAGTATGCTCAGAGGGGAGGAGAGGGCCAGTGCTGACTCGCGAAGGGTTCGGGGGTGTATCGCGTCAGGCCCCGGCGCGCTGGTTGTCTTGAGGGACAGCAGCTTTCCTTCCACTTTCTGGGGAGATACTTCAACATCATCGAGGAAGGGGCCCTGCCAATCAAGGTCCGTATCTGGTGCTTCAGTATCTTCATGGGTAAAGATGCTGCTGAAGTACTTGCCCAACATGTCAGCCTTGTCTTGGTCACATGATGTCAGGTCTCCCCGTTCGTTTAGCAGGTTGTCAACTCTGCTCCTGGTGCGAAGCCTCGTTTTGGCATACCTCCAAAAGGCCTTTGGGTTCTGTTTCAGATTGCCAGCTAGCTTGGACTCGTATTCCTTGCGTAGAGTTCTGGTGAGCTTCCTGAGTTCATTTTTGCAGCGTGTGAACCTGGCGTAGTCGATGGGGTCAAGCGTGTATCGGTATGTAGTCCAGAGCGACTTCTTTTTCTTCCTCAGTTGCATGGCTCTGCAGTTCATGTAGATGTTTTACTTATGACGCGATCTCCTCTTCCTGGAGCTTTCGGTTAGGGCCTCCGAGAGCCGCGCTTTGAACGTCTGGTATGCCTCATCCAGGTTCATGCTGTGCATATCGGACCAGTTTTGTTCACCAAGGGCGGTGGAAAGGTGTTCGTAGTCAGTTATGGTGTGATACTCGGGGAGTGAGGCGGCAGCTTCAGTGTAGCAGGAGAGAGTAAACCGAATGACCACATGGTCACTGTTTCCTAGTGGAGATTGGTACTGCATGTCTTTCACCATGCCCTCCTCGTTGGTAAAGATCAGGTCCAGCACTGACGGTTTCTCGCCCGATCGGTATCGAGTCGGGCGCTTGATGTGCTGAGAGAGAAGACAGTCATGTACCATATCTAAGAACAGGTGTGAGCAATGAGATGCAGGTGCAGATGATGTTTCAGACTCCCAGTCAATGTGGGGGAAGTTGAAATCGCCAACAATGATCAGGTGTGAAGCATGCAGTGAGCAGGCCTTCTGGAAGAGTTCTCCAAGTTGCTTTGTGCTTTCCTGCATTGCACCAGATGGGCTACGGTAGACACAGCCCACCAGAAGGCTATCACTTCCTGCGAGGCACAATCTTACCCAGGTGTTCTCCACAGATGATTTTTCTAGATGAACCTCTGTTACCTTCAGGTGCATTGCCGTGTAAATGCATACGCCTCTAGTTCCACTCTGGCCTAGGTTTGGGGTGGATAGATCGGAACTGGAATGCATTACATAACCTGGGATATTTAACAGTGCAGGAGCAATGGGGTTTCTCTGGGCTTTGGGAATTACCTCAGAGATGAGGATAACGTCAGGCTCATCACCGCAAATCAGCAGGCACAGTTCATCTCGTTTGTTAATAAACTGGTCAGCATTTGTGTATAAAACCGTGAGATTCTTCTTGTTGCGAGAGGTTGGGTGGTTTAGTCACAAACCATTTGCTGGGTGGGCTTCTGAGCTAGGTGCTGGGGTTTGCAAAGGTGTGCCACCATTGCCGTCCACTGCACCAGGTCTCTGCACTGTGCCACCACCCTCGTGGCTGGCAGATGCCATGCCAACAGCTGGAGGCACAGCGGTTTTCTGGGCAGGTACAGGCGCGCCAGGGGCGATGTTTCCAGCCTGACGAGTTTGAGAAGGCACAGTGGTGCCACCAGGGTTCCTGCTTGTGCTGGAGGCATCGTTACTTGTTTCCTGATTGACACAGATTATCTTCCCCCCCCCCTTGATTCTTAGGTTGTCCTCACCGGATCTCCGTCTGGATGCCAGCTCTTCCCTCAGCTTCCTGTTTGCCTCTCGTTCCTGTTGGGTCAGGTCAGGTGTGATGTAAGTGTGATGTATTTGAAGGATGTTGTATGTAATAACATAAAGGTATTCCCTCAGATCTGGACCTAATGCATCTACTTATTGAGAAATGAAGATTCAGCAATTGAGTAGGCTCATTTTGCCTGGGAAGCACTCGCTGAGATGGAGCCATGTGCAGCTGAGGATACATGGCCTCTGTCAGAAGAGAGGCTTGTCCACGTCCTCTCTGGGAAAGCTGGGTGCGGCCTTTGACACCAAGCAGCAGCCCAGAGTCGATTTGGGGTGGTGGAAAGAAAATGAAGTGAGTATATCATTCTCTTCCTCTCTCCCTCTCCCTCTCCCTCCCCTCCACTCGCCCTCGCCCTCGCCCTTCCCCTCTCCCTCCCCTTCCCCTCTCCCTCTCCTTCTCCCTCTCCCTCTCCCTCTCCCTCTCCCTCTCCCTCTCCCTCTCCCTCTCCCTCTCCCTCTCCCTCTCCCTCTCCCTCTCCCTCTCCCTCTCCCTCTCCCTCTCCCTTTCCCTCTCCCTCTCTCTCTCTCTCTCTCTCTCTCTCTCTTTCTCTGTTACTGTTGCTCCCACTCTTTCACTTAGGTACTCAAAAGACAATATGTATCTACTATCTATCCTACAAATTGGTGAGGCAGCCCATGTCTGACTTTGATGTGCACACACTAAACTCTGGAAGGCATCTGAATTCTCATTACTGGGAACTGCCCCAGTTGGGAGGTAGGGATCCTGGCCCACACACAAGAAAAAAAAACTTGCGAACAAGATCTCTGGCTTTCTGATTCTGTTCTGTCCATATGCACATTTAAGGAAAAAACATTATTTGGTATCAGAATATAACAGATATCCATCTACCTATGAAGCTAGGGTTCAGTTGGGACTTGGGCTGCATCTGGGATCAGTGGCTTATCTGAACTCAAAGCCGTATACTGCAAAGGCAACGAGAACGAGTGGGGTGCTGGCGCTGCTGCCGAGACCGATTATGATATGCACGGTTAGCTGGTGCAGAGCTGTTTTCCGACCACGGTGGCCGCTGGCCGGTCCGGCAGGGCCTGTTCGGGTACCCGGAGCTGCGGACTGCCGACGGGTTCCTGGCGATGCGGGACGGCGCCGTCTGCGACTGCCGCCGACTGGTGGACGAGGCGTGCAGCCCGCGCCGCCGCCGCAAGATGGTGCTGGTGTTCGACGACCTGTCGGACGCGCTCTGCAAGGTGGCCGACATGGCCGAGTTTGTGCGGCTGGCCCACCCGGACGCCTCCTACCAGGCCACCGCCACCGAGGCCTGCATCGCCGTCAGCAACCTGGTCGAACAGTGAGTCGCCCGCCCGCGTACCGCCGAGGCTCTGTGCAGCTTCTGTGCAGTTTTACATCATCAGTCTCTTTGAGCTTTAATGGCGAACGTTTTGTATGGGTGGATTTCCGAGTCCAGAAACTAATCTACTTAGAGATTGTCGGGATCTACAGACTTTCACTGTTCCATCGGAAAATGGAAGGCGAGTGTTGCGATTTAATTAAAGGCGGAATATGTAACATGTTTCGCATGTCCATAGCCGGACGCGATTTGTCATACCATCGCAAGACGCAAGTACGTCCACTCCAGTCGCAACACCCCGCCCAACTGCACTGTTCCTACCCGTGTAGGGGAGAGTGGGGTAATTTGGCCTTTTTTTTAGAAAACGATGTAACTAAAAATCGGCAACACATTTCTGCATTTTCTCAACGCTGACATGTGTGACATACATTTTACTTTCTTGGACAGTAAACTTGAAATGATAGAGTAACTACTTATATTGAAATTGTGACGTATTACAAAGGTCTGCGAAGCGGCCAAATTGCCCCACTAGCAGGGTTATTTGGCCGGGGGTGTGGGGCAATTTGGCCGGTGTTAGTTTGAGGCCATGATTTTTGTTATAGGCGAGTCATCTTCACATTCAGCAATGACGCGTGTCCTACGACGCATTTGAAGCATTTTGGAGGTTGACTCAGCCGTCACAGGGGTTGAAAATAGTCAAAATAACGGCTCTAGATGCGATGACAGTTTTTTTTTACGAATAGCTTTTGAAGTAATCAAGCTAGGCCAAAACTAAAAGTAGCATCGTAATTCTCTCGTCATTCCGCATCGAAACGTGTATGTGTTGACCTCGAGAGGTCAAGGTCAAAGGTTGGCTTCAGGTCACGTTACCTCAGGTCGCTTGACCTCAAGGTGACGTGAGTTCAAGGTCATCATGTATATCATTCGATGTGCCTTGACGAGCTGAACACAATGATACCATTTGCGCGGCTGTATCTTTTTTCTGTAAGTATTTATTAGCAAAAAAGGTTGGAACCGCTGAACACCCTCAATGGCGCTAATGCTATAATGTTGGAATTCGTTTACAGCCCAAATACTACATGTAATACAATTTTTAAACGGAAGTAAAAGTTACCATTTTCTAACGAAATTCACCTTTTATGAATTTTGAATAAAACTAAGAGGGGGAAAGTTTTGACATTTGTTCTCGAGTTAGTTCTGCCGACGACAAATGAATAGAGACTAAAGTTATTTCATTCAGTTTTATCAGCTTTCGTACAGTTGGGGGCGGCCAATTTACACCACCGGCCAAATTACCCCACTCTCCCCTACCTTTCCCCCACTGTGCGCCCCGAAAGGACTGCTGCTGCCACCCCTCTGACCTGCTGCCACCCCTCTGACCTGCTGCCACCCCTCAGACCTGCTGCTGCCACCCCTCTGACCTGCTGCCACCCCTCAGACCTGCTGCTGCCACCCCTCTGACCTGCTGCCCCTCTGACCTGCTGCGACCCCTCTGACCTGCTGCCACCCCTCTGACCTGCTGCCACCCCTCTGACCTGCTGCCACCCCTCAGACCTGCTGCTGCCACCCCTCAGACCTGCTGCTGCCACCCCTCTGACCTGCTGCCCCTCTGACCTGCTGCCACCCCTCTGACCTGCTGCCACCCCTCTGACCTGCTGCCACCCCTCTGACCTGCTGCCACCCCTCAGACCTGCTGCTGCCACCCCTCTGACCTGCTGCCCCTCTGACCTGCTGCCACCCCTCTGACCTGCTGCCACCCCTCTGACCTGCTGCCACCCCTCTGACCTGCTGCCATCCCTCTGACCTGCTGCCACCCCTCTGACCTGCTGCCACCCCTCTAACCTGCCGCCACCCCTCTGACCTGCTGCCCCTCTGACCTGCTGCCCCTCTGACCTGCTGCCCCTCTGACCTGCTGCCACTACTGCTGCCACCCCTCTGACCTGCTGCCACCCCTCTAACCTGCCGCCACCCCTCTGACCTGCCGCCACCCCTCTGACCTGCTGCCCCTCTGACCTGCTGCCCCTCTGACCTGCTGCCACTACTGCTGCCACCCCTCTGACCTGCTGCCACCCCTCTAACCTGCCGCCACCCCTCTGACCTGCTGCCCCTCTGACCTGCTGCCACCCCTCTGACCTGCTGCCACCCCTCTGACCTGCTGCCACCCCTCTGACCTGCTGCCACCCCTCTAACCTGCCGCCACCCCTCTAACCTGCCGCCACCCCTCTGACCTGCTGCTGCCCCTCTGATCTGCTGCTGCCACCCCTCTGACCTGGTGCCACTACTGCTGCCGCCCCTCTGACCTGCTGCCGCCCCTCTAACCTGCTGCCACCCCTCTGACCTGCTGCCGCCCCTCTAACCTAACCTGAGCTCGCCTCCGCCCAGGATGAACACGCACCGTCCGCTGTACGACGCCCTGGAGCGGGCCGTCGCGCACGGGGACCACGTGCACACGGACGGCGTGGACCAGCACGTGGCGCGCCTCTACCTGCACGACTTTGAGCAGTCGGGCATCCACCTGGACGGCGCCAGCCGAGAGCGGGTGGTGCAGCTCACCGACCACGCGCTGCAGGTGAGCGCCTCAGCGGGAGAGGGTACCTGCCAGCCGGGAGCGGGTGGTGCAGCTCACCGACCACGCGCTGCAGGTGAGCGCCTCAGCGGGAGGGGCGGCGGGGGGGGGGGGTACATACCTGCCAGCCGGGAGCGGGGGGTGCAGCTCACCGACCACGCGCTGCAGGTGAGGTTGCCAGCGGACTAATGTTTAATGTTGTCCGGTTTAATGTTGAGTTACGACTGCAGTGATCGCCCCTGACCTGACCCGAGTGATCCGCTTCCGCCAGGTAGGCCAGGCGTTCCTGGCAGGCACACATGAGCCGGCCACCGTGAAGAAAAAGGACCTTCCCGAGGACCTGTCTTACCAGTAAGGGCATACTTCAGCTTCTGCGTCTGAGGTCTAGCTGGGAAAATGCTTTATCAACATTTTTATCATTTGCTCTCTCAGTATCTCCTCAGATGAACCACTCTGTCCGTGCGTTTAGCTTGTTAAGTCAAGATTACCGTGGCCTGCGCCCAACCACCCCACTCCCCTGCCTCATCCCCCGTCCATAGTTTCGCGATGGACTGTGACTGACTCTCTGCCCCCTCCCCTCCCCTCCGTTAGGTTCGCGGAGACTCTGTGACTCTGTGTCCTCCCCAGGTTCGCGGTGGACGGCGACTCTGTGACGGTGGGCGGGCTGATGGCCGACTCGCCGCTGGACCAGACTCGCGAGGCCGCCTACCGCGTGTACCTGCACCCGGACCCGGGCCAGGAGGCGCTGCTGGCGGCGCTGCTGCACACCCGGCGCGCCCTGGCGCACCTCTGCGGCTTCCCCAGCTTCGCGCACAGGTCAGCGGACACTGCGGCACAGGTCAGCGGACACTGCGGCACAGGTCAGCGGGCACTGCGGCACAGGTCAGCGGGCACTGCGGCACAGGTCAGCGGACACTGCGGCACAGGTCAGCGGACACTGCGGCACAGGTCAGCGGACACTGCGGCACAGGTCAGCGGACACTGCGGCACAGGTCAGCGGACACTGCGGCACAGGTCAGCGGACACTGCGGCACAGGTCAGCGAACACTGCGGCACAGGTCAGCGGGCACTGCGGCACAGGTCAGCGGACACTGCGGCATAGGTCAGCGGACACTGCGGCACAGGTCAGCGGACACTGCGGCACAGGTCAGCGGGCACTGCGGGACAGGTCAGCGTACCACTCAGCGAGTCTGAGCGGCTGAGTGCGCTGACCGGTCAGGCTGTCCCGCGGGAGAGGTCGGCACTCGTGTTCAGCAGGTGGGGATCGCTTCAGGTGCACCAGCAGACGGCGTGGGACGCTACCTAGGGATCGAGATGGTGAAGGTGTGTTTAATGTTTATACTGATAACAATAGAATAGAAGGACTGTTTCTCGCTCCCTGATCGCTCGATGGTCACACCCCGGTCCCTGCGCAGCCCGCACCCTGTCTCCCCCCCCCCTCCCCCAAGGAGCGGTAGCGGCAGTTTGGGGCTCACTCAGGGCCACCCTCCCCTCCCCCCGCTGTCGCACAGGGCGCTACGCGGCAGCCTGACTAGGTCCCGGGCCCACGCCCTGACCCTCCCCTCCCCCCGCTGTCGCTATGTTACAGGGCGCTGCGCGGCAGCCTGGCGCGCACACCGGAGACGGTGGACGCCTTCCTCTGCCGACTGAGGGACGAACTGGCACCTGAGGCCGCCAAAGAGTTTGACACCATGGCCTCCATGAAACGGGCCACCAGCTCCCGGGTAAGAGGGAAGACTAGGTCAGACAGAGGCGGAGGAACGGTGGGGTATATACGGACAGAGGGGGGGGAGACACTGACAGAGACAGAGGGATGGGGAGACACTGACATAGACAGAGGGGTGGGGAGACACGGACAGAGGGATAGAGGGACGGAGGGAGACACGGACAGACGGATAGAGGGATGGGGAGACACTGACAGACGGATAGAGGGATGGGGAGACACGGGCAGAGGGATAGAGGGACGGAGGGAGACACGGACAGACGGATAGAGGGATGGGGAGACACTGACAGAGACAAAGGGATGGGGAGACACTGACAGAGACAGAGGGATGGGGAGACACGGACAGACGGATAGAGGGACGGAGGGAGACACTGACAGAGACAGAGGGATGGGGAGACACGGACAGACTGTGGCAGGATAAAGGAGGGTTCGAGAGGGAGACCCAGGTCTGATACTGACTCGCAATTCTGAATTTTTTTTATATTAGCTGTTGCAATTTTATTTTCAACCATGAGCAACTGGTCATGCAGTCGATTGGCTTATATGATCTGTGATAGACCAATGAATGCATTGAAGACTTCCGACTACATGTTCCCCTCTCCACAGCCGCTGGGTGGTGTACACGACTTACTCAACCTCCCCGTCCACAGCCGCTTGGCCGCCTGGGACGTGGCGTACCCCCCCCCCCGTCCATAGCCTCTGGGTGTTGTACCTGACCCTCCCCCCTGTCCACAGCCTCTGGGCGCGTGGGACGTGCCGTACCTGGCGCACCTGGCGCGCCGGCAGCGGCAGCGCGAGGAGGACCTGCGCCTCTCCGAGTATTTCTCGGTGGGCACGTGTATGCGCGGCCTGAGCGCGCTGTTCGGTCGGCTGTACGGCGTGCGCCTGGAGGCGGAGGAGGCCCGGCCCGGCGAGCTGTGGGCGCCCGATGTGCAGAAATTGGCCGGTGGGTGCGCCGGGTACAGCAGAGGATGATTGGACAGGGTGCGGGCGGCCGGTAGTGAGGGAGTTCTGGGACTTTTCGTGCCGCGATTACAATGGGTTAGTTCATTTGGTTTCAGCTGTGAAATTTAGGATTTGTGTTATTGGGTTTTTATATTCCTTATTATCATGAGTCAAAAGATGTTAGCTGGTTGGTCATAATTAGAGAACTCTTGGTTGGCTGTGGATAATCGTTATTTTTGACGCTCTACAAGGATGTCCGTAACTGCAGTACACGGTATCGCAGGCTGTAGGCTGTATTCCGAAATCTGTGCTGTTCTCAGTCTCTATACCTCAGACTCTCATCACTCTGATGAATGTGCATTGTGCGTGTTTCTGACTCAGCCACCAAAGTCCCCAGCTCTCTCTCCACCCCTCCAGCCCGCTGACCGACCTTCCCGTCCCCTTCCCCTGGCGTTGGCAGTTGTGCACGAGTCGGAGGGCCTGCTGGGCTACATCTACTGTGACTTTTACACGCGGCCGGGCAAACCGAGCCAGGACTGTCACTTCACCATCCGCGGCGGCCGCGACCTGCCCGACGGAACATATCAGGTGAGAGCGGGGATAGATATGCAGATACTGTCCGATGGGACCTGTCAGGTGAGAGCGGGGATAGATATACAGATACTGCCCAACGGGACGCAGTCCAGGTGAGCGGTGGTGATAGGCCACTGCCTAACCGTATCAGGTTAGCGGCGATGATAGGTGAACTGACACTGACTGACGGGGCGTACCAGGTGGTGAGGGAGGACAGAATGGTTGCGGTCCCTGGACAGAATGGATTATTGAAAAAAGGTGTCTCCCTTTCTCTCTCTTAGTCCGGTGGTGGTACTGATTCAGTCGTGGTGGTGTCCCGTTCCCTCAGAGTCCGGTGGTGGTGTTGATGTACCGCTCCCTCAGAGCCCGGTGGGGTGCTGATGTACAGCCCACCGCTAAAGTATTGTAGGGTTTTACCAATCTCAACGTTTGGCTTTGACTGGCGATTGTTTAATGCGGAGTGATCGAAAAGAAGATGCCAATAGCTAAAGTTGCAGCTGCAAGGGTGACGATACATATAAGCTACATTCAAAGTTTCATTGTAGTCTGGTTAATCGTTCCTAAGCTTCAGAAGCAGAACATACCCATGACTGAAACCGCACATTACTTCTGCTGTGGACTGTACCGTTCCCCGTTCCCTCAGAACCCGGTGGTGGTGTACTGATGTACCGTTCCCCGCTCCATCAGAGTTCGGTGTTATGTGAGGTGTACTGTTATGTTGCCGCCGTCTCACTCACAAGCACTTCTTCATCAGACGGACTGTATTGGATCACGGCCGGTCAGAGAGTGACCATCAGTCGGTCAGCGGCGGTTCGTCTCGACCGCGCAGCTCCCCGACCTTCGACCCCGCCCCCAGGCAGTCGGTCGGTCAGCTGCGCCGAGCGGCGGCCCAGCCGGGCGGTCACACGAGCGGTCACACGAGCGGTCACACGACCAGCACATGCAGCAAATAGACGGCGCTCACAGCACTCCTCCCCCTTTAACAAGTTTTTTTAGCCAGCCGAGCAGAGCGCCGCAAGGCCGGCGCCGCTTCTACCGGCTCTGATGCACGCGCGCCACGATTGCCCTCGCATGTTGCTCGCTTATTATAATCACTGATATACGGAAAACGCCCCCTAGCGTCCATCACACATGGCACTGCTGGACCGCGAAGCTTTCCCGGCTCCGTCGGAGGCGGCACCGTCACCCGCGCATCGAGGGGCCCACGCTCAGCCGTCACAGAAGCAGAGCCGTCGGCCAGCAGATGATCCACGTGGGCGAGACGTATGCGACCGTCCGGCAGCCGCACGCTGTACGTCAGTGGGCCTCCAATGGCGACGACGACAGCGCGCTGCCATTTCTCGGTCGCTGCTGGCCGCAGATCTCGAACCAAGACAGGTTGACCTGCAAGAAATGATCGTGAGACAGTGTCGACAGGCTCATGTCGCATCCGCGCTGCAACACTGGGCTTGAGGAGCGAGAGCTTTGTCCGAGGCAGTCTCCCAAAAAGCAATTCGGCGGGTGCCCGGGCTGTTGTGACGCATGGAGTCGTTCTGTATTTTGCCAGAAATTGTGCTACTGCTGTGGTTCTGGGTCCTGCATACCTCTTGAGGAAAGCTTTGAAGGTACGTACCAGAGACTCCGCCTGCCCGTTTGACGCTGGGTGGTACGGCGGTGTCAGACGGTGATGAATACCTCGCGCTGCCAGGTAGCTCTGAAACTCTCCAGAGGTAAACGGCGGGCCATTGTCTGACACCAACGTCACCGGAAAACCATGCGTTGCAAAAATGTCCGTCAACACTTCGATGGTCTTAGTAGCCGTTGTGCTAGACATGTATCGCACTTCTGGCCATTTTGAGTAAGCATCAACGAGCAAAAGGTAGGTTTTTCCTTCAAAAGTGGCAAAATCAATGTGGACTCTGTCCCAAGGCTGAACTGGGTATTTCCACGGGTGTACATTCTCTGGTTTGGGCATGTTCGCGTTCTCGACACAGGACGGACACGAACGGCATACTTTTTCAATATCTGCATCTAGCCCTGGCCACCAGAGGAACACCCTAGCCAGTGACTTCATCTTATGAATGCCAACATGGCCTTCATGAAGCTCCTTCAGTAGCTGAGCTCTATATCTGTCAGGTATGACTACCTTCTCACCGAGCTGTACGCAGCCGTCGATCACGGTGAGCTGCTCTCTCCGCTGCAGGTACGGCTTCAACCGGCTGTCGTTCGCGTGCCCGGGCCAGGCGCCGGTTCGAGCCCAGCCGAGCACCACGCTGAGCACCGGATCCTTGGCGGTGGCAGACGCCACCTGGGCTGCAGTGACAGGCAAGACGTCATCAACGGCACAACAGCCCTCCTCAACGTCCTCCAACACATGCACGGCTCGATCACATGTATCTGGCCCCGGCAGTCGGCTGAGGGCATCAGCAGCTACGTTCCGACTGCCCGGCAGATATTCCACATCGTACTGGTACATGCTCAGAATGAGTGCCCACCGCTGAAGACGTGCTGCAGCCACAGACGGAACTTGTGTGTGTGTGGTCCGAAAATGTGACACAGCGGCTTGTGGTCGGTGACTAGCGTGAAGGAGCGGCCACACAAGTACTGATGCCACCGCTTGACGGCAAAGATTATGGCCAGTGCCTCCCTCTCTATTTGCGCATACTTTCTCTCGGCCTCTGTCAGTGTACGAGACGCAAACGCGATCGGACGCTCCCCCGACCCGTCCACGTGCACCATACACGCTCCCAGGCCGTACGCCGAGGCATCACAATACACCTTGACTCGCTTACCCAGATCGTAGTGAGTCAAGCAGCCAGCGTCTGCGAGCATGGACTTTACCTCAGAGAATGCCTCCTGGCATTTTGGGGACTAGTTCCACACGGTATCTCTCTTGGTGAGATCGTACAGCGGTCTGAGGACGGTGGACAGATGAGGAAGGAACTTTGCGTTGTATGTGACCATACCCAGGAATGTCAGCAGCTCCTTGGCGTTCTTTGGTGCCGGCATAGCCAGCATGTCTCTCACCTTCTTTTCGCTCGGTCGCACTCCCTCGGTGGTGAGAGTGTATCCCAAGAACTCCACAGACCTCTGGAAGAAGCGGCACTTCTCGCGGCGCAGCCGCACACCGTACTGCTGAAGGCGGCTGAGCAGTTGTTCGAGGTTGTCCACGTGCTCCTGGCGAGAGGATCCGGTCACCAAAATATCATTAAGATAGCACGCGACACCCTTCAGACCTTGCAAAATGCTATCCATCGTTCTTTGCCAAATATTGGGAGCAATATTCAGGCCAAATGGCAGCCTCCGGTGACGCATCAGCCCTCGTGGCGTATTGACCGTAAGCAGTTCCTGACTTTTTTCCGAGACGCGTAGCTGTTTATATGCGTTTGCTAAGTCCAGTTTTGTGTACGACTCTCCCCCCGAGAGGCAGCTAAACATCTCCTCCGTAGTCGGTAGCGGATACGACTGCTGTTTGACATATCTGTTAACTGTGACTTTAAAGTCGGCACAGATCCGCACATTTCCTCCCGGCTTCTTGACAATTACCAAGGGTGCGGCCCACTCGCTCTCCTGTACCGGGTAGAGCTCACCTTCCTCCAGCTGCCTGTCGAGCTCCTGGTTCACCTTCTCCCTCAGTGGAAACGGTACCGGCCGGCTCCGGAAGAACCGAGGTCTGGCATTGTCGTCCAGCTCGATGTCAGCTTCGATGCCTCTGATCTCCCCCAGCTGATCGGAGAACACATCTTCATATTTCTCCTGCAACTGGGAAGCAGACATGCACACTGTGTGAACGTCACGTCCGTGAAATATTCTATTCCAGTCCAGCTTTACACGGAACAACCAATCACGGCCTAGTAGCGGGTACTTGTTACGCACGTTCACCACCAAAGCTGTACCTGTGAACTGCTGGTCATCGTGCTGAACATGAGCACGCATCTCTCCACACACGGTCAATGGCGTGCCATCATACTGTGACAGTCTCTTTTTTGTGGCTACCAGTGGCTCTGAGTCGTACCCAAACACTCTCTCGAATACATGCTCTGGAATCGTAGTGATTTCTGCACCCGTATCTATCTCATCCTCGTCGCCACTGTTATGTTGCCGCCGTCTCACTCACAAGCACTTCTTCATCAGACGGACTGTATTGGATCACGGCCGGTCAGAGAGTGACCATCAGTCGGTCAGCGGCGGTTCGTCTCGACCGCGCAGCTCCCCGACCTTCGACCCCGCCCCCAGGCAGTCGGTCGGTCAGCTGCGCCGAGCGGCGGCCCAGCCGGGCGGTCACACGAGCGGTCACACGAGCGGTCACACGACCAGCACATGCAGCAAATAGACGGCGCTCACAGCAGTAGTGTACTGATGGGCCGTCCCCGCTCCCTCAGAGCCCGGTGGTGGTGTACTGATGTCATGTTCCACGCTACCCCAGAGTCCGGTGGTGGTGCTGATGCTGGGCCTCCAGCCGCCCGGCTGGTCGCGGCCCTGCCTGCTCACTCACGCCCAGCTGGAGAACCTGTTCCACGAGACCGGACACGCCATGCACTCTATGCTGGCGCGCACACGCTACCAGCACGTGACGGGCACGCGGTGCAGCACCGACTTCGCCGAGGTGCCCTCCGTGCTGATGGAGTACTTTGCCGGCGACGAGCGCGTGCTGGCGTCGTTCGCGCGTCACTACCGGACCGGCGAGCCGCCGCCGCCGGAGGCGCTGCGCCGACTCTGCCGCGGCCGCGCCGCCTTCCCCGCCGCCGACGCCCAGCTGCAGGTCAGAGAGAGTGGGGGAGGAGAGAGCCGAGGGGAGAGTGGTGGGAACGGGAGCTGAGGGAGAGGCGAGAGATGGGGAGGGACAGGGAGTGGGGAAATAAATTTTGAAACCTCTGCCGGCATGGTATTTGCATCAGCTTTTAAGTCAAAATCTGACGGTTGACTCTCCCGCCCCTGTCTGCCATCACCCCTGCGGCGCGCCCACTGACCGCCCGCCCTCTGTCCGGTGTTGGCAGCTGTTTTACGCGGCGCTGGACCAGCGGTACCACGGCACCGAGCCGCTGTTGGCGCCCACCACCGACGTACTGGCTGAGGTGCAGCACGCCTTCTACGGGCTGCCGCACGTGGCCGGCACTGCCTGGCAGCTGCGCTTCGGCCACCTGGTCGGCTACGGCGGCCGCTACTACTCGTACCTGATGGCGCGCGCCGTGGCCTCGGCCATTTGGCGGGAGCTGTTCAGAGCCGACCCGTTCGACCGGTGAGTGACCGGGCGGGGGACGGGGGGGGGGGCAGACACGTGAGACTGACGGGGCGGGCCGACCGGTGGGACGGAGCGGGGCGGGCTGACCCGTGAGGACCCCTAGTGTGTTGAGTGTGCCTTCTTGTCCGTTGTCTCCTGGTGAGTGAGGCTTCAGAAGGGTGAAGGAGGGACAGGGGCTGGTCAGTGCACTGTGTACCTCTGACCCCTCTGAACCTCCCTGCAGATCTGCCGGGGAGCGGTACCGCCGCGAGTGTCTGGCCCACGGCGGCGGTGTGCCCGCTCACCAGATCGTCTCGGGCCTGCTGCGGAGGGACGTGTCGCCGGCGGAGCTGGCCTCGTCCATCGTCACGGACGTCATCGGCCAGCGGGCCGCCGGCTGACGGGCTGCCACCCGAGGTCTGACGGCAGTGCAGCCGCCGCTGAGGTGCCGTCACCCGAGGTCTGGCGGCAGTGCAGCCGCCGGCTGACGGGCTGCCACCCGAGGTCTGGGGGCAGTAGCCGCCGCTGAGGTGCCGTCACCCGAGGTCTGACGGCAGTGCGGGCGCCGCTGAGGTGCCGTCACCACTGCTGGCCGACTGGGAGGTGGGTTAGCAGTACGATGGTCGAAGGCGCTGAACACGACCTGAGGGGCGTGAAGGAAGGCGCTGTCGGTCAGGATAGATGGCTGTGACGTCACAGGGCGGGACGACGTGGAACTGCGCGCCGTCTAATGGTGATAATATGACGTCATAGTGACGCCATGATGCGGCAGTACAGAATCGATCCGTCTCGCCATCGTAAGAGCTCTTACTGCTCAATGTTTGTTGTGTAGTATATCGTGTCACCTTCACCCAATCATACACCTCGATATCATGAAGGGTCGTGACGTGTTTCTAGACGGCCATCAAAATGCTCAGGTATTAGACAAAATATGTATGCTACTGATAAACCAGTCTTCCTAAAGCTTCTGTAATAACATAGGGCATTCGACAGGTTTTTTATCTCTGTAATCTTATTTTGTAATCCGGTCATTTTGTTGGTGATTTGTTCCATATTCAACGTTTTGGAAGTCACACATGTGCGGCATTTCTTGAGAGGTCAATTTTGATTTCTCGTGGTACCCCTGGCGCCATACCTCCACCACGGAGTGACACAAGTCCTACCTCTGTGAGCGCGGCATTATCTGACTGCCCCCGCCCCTCATTAGCGCTGCTCTCATTAATGGCCCGCTGGACGCCATGGCTCTGCTCACCGCGCTGGCGCAGCGTGTGCCAACGCAGTCATACATCGAGGTGCAACATTCAGAATCGGTGCAATATGGGCCGGTATGTAGTCACTCGTGCCAACCACCGCGGGGCTAGCTTTGCCAGGTGATAGGTCGATCCTGTCGCTACATTTTGTGAGCTTCGTAACTGATAAATGTCATCAGTGTTTTACAAGACAATAAATGACGCTTCCGTCTGCAGTTTTTCCGTTGTTACCTGATAAGTTGGCTTTTTTTTGGCGTTTGTGTGAATCGTCGCAAAATGGCACACAGTGATTAATAAAGTAGCGACATTATCTGCGGCATTAGCTTACTAATCGGTCAAAGCCATACTCTGCTCAGAGAATGGGATATCATGTGTTGATCTTTTCTAAATTGCAAACTGTGTTTACCACCAAGTGAAGAATCAACAATTTTAGGGTTTTCATATAGGAGTATCCTGCACCTTGCTTTTCTCTCGCCCTCGGTTAAGTTTCAGCATCTACATTCTACACTACGTTCGGGGCCAGCCTTCACTCAGCAGCGTCCTTACAGTGCTCACAGTTTTACAGTGTGGCACCGTGCTGGCTCTAAGGCCCGGCTCGGTGCGGCGCGGCTCTAACAGTCACCGCGATAGAGGGTTGTGACATTTGACGTCTGATGACGCGATACGTGTGCCAGCAATGGCCGGTGGAATCAGGCGCCCTCAATATCGGCCCGCGCCCCCGTCCCTGACCTTTGCCACCCGGACCTGACCGTCAGCCTCCCGGTGCGGCCGCTGTAGGTGCCATAGTGTGTTTGCAGCAATGGTAGTTACACTGCACTGCGCGATTATGCTCAGAGGTGGGATTTGTGAACATTAATTTTCGAAGTGGGGGTACCCGGGCGCAGCCAATCCCCCCGCTGTCCCAGCGGTGACTTTGAACTCCGCCGTCTATTGCGGCTCCAAAGCCAAGCCGTGGAACTGGAGAGCTCGGGCACGCCTAGCTCGGCGCAAACCTCCACCTATGAATAATTTAATAACAATTTGGCTGAATAATTCAAATTTTGTCGGTGATGAGATAATTTTGTTGGTGTATGTACATATTCCATACAATTACACACACTAGCGAAGTGGTGCAAGTTCGCCTGCGCACATATTTTAATCTTTAAGACGATGAAGCCTACTGTATGTAAATTCGATTTGATAACATAATGTTGTGAGGCTGAGTGATGAGCCCGGACCCGCGTCCGGTCCGCTCCGTGTTATGCTGGTGCTTCGATCGTGTCTGGTCTGTCCACTGTATGTCTATGGGTGTATGTTGGGGACAGATCAGTGGTCTGTGCTCCGTCCGTTTCTGACTGTCCACTGTATGTCTATGGGTGTATGTTGGGGACAGATCAGTGGTCTGTGCTCCGTCCGTTTCTGACTGTCCACTGTATGTCTATCGGTGTATGTTGGGGACAGATCAGTGGTCTGTGCTCCGTTCGTTTCTGACTGTCCACTGTATGTCTATGGGTGTATGTTGGGGACAGATCAGTGGTCTGTGCTCCGTTCGTTTCTGACTGTCCACTGTATGTCTATGGGTGTATGTTGGGGACAGATCAGTGGTCTGTGCTCCGTCCGTTTCTGACTGTCCACTGTATGTCTATCGGTGTATGTTTGGGACAGATCAATGGTCTGTGCTCCGTCCGTTTCTGACTGTCCACTGTATGTCTATGGGTGTATGTTGGGGACAGATCAGTGGTCTGTGCTCCGTCCGTTTCTGACTGTCCACTGTATGTCTATGGGTGTATGTTGGGGACAGCTGGTCAAGGGTGACCCGTGGAGCGGGCAAGAGTGGTTTTTCCAAGCAGAGGTTGTAAAACGCGGCACAGTGACTAAAGACGGATGTCGACCAGCGTGGCCCAGCGGCGCGTCTTTGGCGGCGTACCTACCGATCCCTCTCCAGAGGTCGACCTGTAAAGGACTTATCTGTCCTACGTATAGAACCAGCCTTTGTCCAGGCAAGCGCCAGCAGACCGTGATTTCAGTATTTCCCGATGCGAGGTAACATTTATTGGACAGACGATAGGAACGAACACACGGTTAAACACCGGATTAACATGGATTTAAGTGCTTGTCCAAACATTGGACAAACACTTAACAGCGTTTGCCGTTGAGTTTTTGATCGGCAATGCCCATAGTGCAGAGCGCTGTTTTTATATAAACAACTTCAATAAAACACATGGCCGGTGGCAGACACTAATCGCGTACTTTAAGATGAAATAGGCACGAGAACCACTAAGAAGACAGCAGAAGGGGTACTACCTTCAGTCACACAGCAGCTGTGGTCTGCTGAATGATAGTGGTGGTGTGTGCCGTGTACCCGAGGGCGGCGCCGAGACCCAGAGGCGACGTCACGGCTTGGTATGTTTGTCGGGACGTCACGGCTTGGGTTGTTTGTCGGCGGACGTGAGCTGTTTGATCAGCAGTTTGGTGGAGACCAGGATGCTCTGCGCCCGGCACGTCTTCCTGCACTCGCCCACGGTCCGGAAGTTGTTGGCGTTTCCGCCGCAGCCGCCGTAGATGAATTGGGCGCAGCGTTTGCCGTTGAAGTAGTAGCGTGGGATGGCCGCCAAGCACGGCCCGACCACCTTGGGCAGCCGGCAGAGTTTGGGTCGGCCGGCGCCGCAGCGCTGTCGGCACTCGGACAGCGTGCGGAAGTTGTTCCCGTTTGGCGCGCAGCCTCCCCAGTAAAACTTGAGGCACCTGTTCGCTTTGGCGGAGAAATAGTAACGGGGCATCCTGGCTTTACAGGGTCCCACCTTTTTAGGCTGAAGGCAGGGGCTGCATTGCTTGTTGCAGTCAGCGAGGGTCTTGAAGTTGTTTCTGTTGGGCTGGCAGCCGCCCCAGCTAAATTCCATGCATTTTCCGTCCTTGGCCGAATAATAGAAGCGTGGGATTGCTGCTCTGCAGGGTCCTACTTTCAGGGGCTGCTTGCATGGGTTACCGCAACCCTTGACACAACACTGCTTTTCGCAGTCCTTCAAGGACTCGAAGTTGTTTCCATTGGGTTTGCAGCCTCCCCAGTAGAACTTGAGGCACCTGTTCTTTTTGGCCGAGAAGTAATACCGAAGCTTTCTTGCCCTACAGGGTCCCACCTTTTTAGGCTGAAGGCAGGGGTTGCATTGCTTGTTGCAGTCAGCGAGGGTCTTGAAGTTGTTGCCGTTGGGCTGGCAGCCGCCCCAGCTAAATTCCATGCATTTACCGTCCTTAGCTGAATAGTAGAAGCGTGGGATTGCGGCCCTGCAGGGTCCTGCTTTCAGTGGCTGCTCGCATGGGTTACCACAGCCGCTAGCACAACACTGCTTCTCGCAGTCCTTCAGGGACTCGAAGTTATTTCCATTGGGTTTGCAGCCTCCCCAGTAGAACTTGAGGCACCTGTTCTCTTTGGCTGAGAAGTAATACCGAAGCTTTCTTGCCCTACAGGGTCCCACCTTTTTAGGCTGAAGGCAGGGGTTGCATTGCTCGTTGCAGTCAGCGAGGGTCTTGAAGTTGTTGCCGTTGGGCTGGCAGCCGCCCCAGCTAAATTCCATGCATTTACCGTCCTTAGCTGAATAGTAGAAGCGTGGGATTGCGGCCCTGCAGGGTCCTGCTTTCAGTGGCTGCTCGCATGGGTTACCACAGCCGCTAGCACAACACTGCTTCTCGCAGTCCTTCAGGGACTCGAAGTTGTTTCCGTTGGGGTCGCAGCCTCCCCAGTTGAACTTGAGGCACCTGCCCTGTTTGGCCGAGAAGTACCAGCGCGGCACGAGAGCCTCGCACGGGCCGACCTTGAGCAGCTGCCGGCACGGCTCCTTCTCCTTCACGGTGGCGGAGGCGGCCGCGGCCAGGGCAACCAGCAGTCCCAGCTGCATGGTGGCCATACGGACGGCGGGCGGGCGGACCGGGACCGGGCGGGGCTCTGACTGAGCCGACAGCGGACCGGGCGGGGCTCTCAGCGGGCGAGCAGAGGACCGCGCGGGGACCTGAGCGCGACTCTGAGAGACGGGCGGACCGGGACCCAGCGCGACTCCCGGCGAGGTGGGACTGCGAGCGGTAGGCCCCTCCGCCGAGATATCACACCAGGGAAAGGTCACACGTGTCGCCAGATGTCATCGAGTGACGCTGAACGTCAAATAATCGGACCGACAATGAGCCAGGCCGGACTCAGCGGTAGACAGGGCTCCTCTACGAAGGGTTACAAAGAGCTGAGAGTGCCGCCGGAGCTCGGCTGAAGAGTGCCGCCGGAACTCGGGTGAAGAGTGCCGCCGTTCGGACGTGCCCGCCGGGGTGCGGCAGGCGGCGCTACCTGGGGCGGTCCATCGATCCAGCTATCCATCAAATGGTCCATCGTCTCTGGTCATTCTCGGCGTGGCGGCTGACAGGCCCGCCCGACCTTTTGCCGCCCTTGGGCTGTGGGCTGTGGACTGTGAACTGTGAGCTATGGACGGTGGGATGCTGACCCCACCGTGGGCGCAGAGGCGACCCACTTGTATGACAGTCGGTGGCCGTCCGTCACCGGCTCTGCACGTGTGCTCAAACTGTCCGTCACCGGACGGCGATCAGCCATCGGCTGTCGGGGAGGGGGGGGGCGGACACGGGCTGTTGGTGGGGGGGGGGCGGACACGGGCTGTCGGTGGGGGGAGGGGGCGGACACGGGCTGTCGGGGGGGGGGGAGGATGGACACGGGCTGTCGGGGGGGGGGGGGGGAGGATGGACACGGGCTGTCGGTGGGGGAGGGTGACCGGACACGGGCTGTCGGTGGGGGAGGGTGACCGGACACGGGCTGTCGATGGGGGAGGGTGACCGGACACGGGCTGTCGGTGGGGGGCGGGACCGGACACGGGCTGTCGGTGGGGGAGGGTGACCGGACACTGGCTGTCGGTGGGGGAGGGTGACCGGACACTGGCTGTCGGGGGGGGGGGGGGGCGGACACGGGCTGACCCGAGAGGTCACCGATGAGGTGACCGGTGAGACAAGCTTGTTAGTCGTCCTCCTGAGCTCATCTGTAGGTAGGGTGAAGTCGTATAAGAGTACGCACTTAGTGGATTTCTTGCTCTCATTTGTTTAATATTTGAAAGTAAGAAATCGCAAATAGAGAATATTAAAGTTCATTGAATTAGCTATCAACCCATGGGGCAACGATCCTTCAGCGTAAATGGAAGTGGTCTAAAACTGACATTTTCTGAACCGCTGCAGTTGCGTACTCTAACCATATGGGGTGTGTAAGAGTACGCACGCCAGGCGGGTGGAGTACGCAAGCATATGAACACACACCTATGCAGCTTGTACTGTCCAAATGCTTAACTTCAAACTGAGAAGGCACTTAAGTTAATTCTAGTATCCAAAAAGAAAAACATAAAATACATCTTTCAAGTCTATAAATCAGGAAATAATCATGTCGTGTGTTTCTTGAAAAAATGTACAATCAAAAGGGAGAATAACTCGTATTTGGAAGAATTTCGGGTACGCATCTGCATCACAGTGCTCCATTGATGATATACCTACAAAACAAACGTCAGTGAGCGATAGATTAATAATTTTATATTTCTGTATATTCGATTTAATGTATAATTCTGCGTACTCTTACCCTCCTGAACAGTGCGTCCTCTTACCGTACATGCAATTCGCGCACAAAAACAACCCCGAAACGTTGTGCAAAACTTCGCAAACAGAATATTGCACTGCACAGTATTTCCCCAGATAACCTCACAAGTTTCCCACAACAATCACGGAAATGTACCTTATCTTTCTAGTTGAGGTTTATTTGCCATTGGGTCTACAGTGCAGGGATATTTCTATCTCGCACTCTTCTGCGATGCAAAGATAAGAATTTGCTATCTCTGCATCTCTCTGAGATGCAAAGATAAGGTCTCGAGGGTTCATAGCTAAAAATCAAGAGTTCAAGTGATGATATGGGTCAATAACCGAACGGCATTTTTAATGGCTGTTTATGTACGAAACTTATGAAATAAAAACAAACTACTCTAAATATTTTTTTTTACATAGATGAATACATTTGAATATTATATTCAATTTATTAAGAATAAACCTCAACATAGAAAGATATAGGATTCCTCATGGCTCACTCGTGGAAGATAGGATATCTTTTCCTCGCGTGTCACAGAAAAACCTCGCTCCTTCGTCGCTCGGTTTTTCAGTAGCCCGCTTGGAAAAGATATCCTTATCTTCCACTCGGAGCCATGAAGAATCCTCTATATCTCAACTGCCAAGTATCAAAATTATTGTACCATACCATAATAATATCATAACGCTCGAAAATAATATTCATCGCCTTAAACTCAACAGCGTCGCCGCTCAACGCCCACGTTCCGTTGGTGACAAGCACGCACTGGCGGCTTCATGTCACTTCATGAACTCGACAAACCCGCGTTGCTAAGCAACCGAAACAGCTGATGCGTACTCTTATCGCCCGCGTACTCTTACCCGCCCTTACCCTACAGGTCTCGCGGGTTTTAGCGGTAGGTTTTGCACCTAGAAAATTTAGTGTACTTCAGGCTATATCTTCGTCGTCTTAACCCTATTAGTGGCAGGGGGGGTTGTTTTTATCCACCCCTCAGGTTTTTCGGGAATATCTCCGAAACCGCTGAAGCTACGATGCTGAAATTTTCTGACTTTTCCTAAAACTAAATTGGGCACATTCCCTGAAAATTTCAAGTTCATAACTTTACCAGGGGCGGCTCCAGAGCACTGGGAATTGGGGGGTCCTATTCGTGAAGCGAGTCATTTGGGCGAAGATCACGATGCTCCACCAGTTTTACGAACAGTGAATGAAAGGTATCATGTGATAGCATATACAGTTATTGTGCATCCTCTTTTGACACGTTTTTGCTATAATAGGCGGATCCAGGCGTCCAAAAAGGGGGGTTATGTTTTACCTCCCAACATAGGTGCCCTGACACCGCCTATGCATGACCAATACAATTGTAGTCGTTCTCTCATAAGAAAATTGTAACATAACAAGACCATTACCACCATTTTTAGAAACAGTACCTACCAACAAAAACCTTACTTACTATACTTTTTGTGTACCCCAAATCTCAATGATCTGTATCCGCCTATGATTTTTGAAAATGCATATTTTTGGGATCCATGTGAATTCCTGGTTCATTCTCTATCGATCGGCAAAAGTTGCGTGAAGATTGGTTCAGAAACCTGGCCGTGATAAACAGTCTAAAATGTATCTGCAATTTGCCCGTTTTTACCCCCCTCTACCCCCCTATTGGCACTTTTTAATTTTTATTTTTTAGAAATGTAGATCACGTTGAGCGAAATCGAATGCCGTTTGAATTTTGAAAATCGGCCCGTTAGATCTCGAGATATCAAGGGGGGGTCGTAAACAGCCCCCCCCTGCCACTAATAGGGGGTAGCCAGGAGCCTGCCACTAATAGGGTTAAGCTTTTAAGTGTTGAAGATGCGATCGACTTGTTGGGTAACAAGCCGGCCATGATCGTGTAAAATGGCTTCATCGTAGATCGATAAGTTTCTGAGATATAGGTAACCGGAAATGTAAAAGTGCGAAACCTACCGCTTGATCTCGCGAGACCTGTACCTTTCCCAACTCCCGACTTCCGATTCCGGATTCCGATTTTATCTGGGAAGCTTTTAACGGAAAACTGTAATGCCTAAAATTACTTCACTGGCGTCATAAAATAAAGGTCATATCCTAATGCCACGTTGGGTTTATAATGCAAAAATGAATCATAGCAATCACCATTCACGTAACTAATGAACATATGTTCATCTAGCACTTCCCCCATGTTCTAGCACTCAGACTCTTATATAAGAGTCTGAGTGCTAGAAAATGAGATCGATCATATTGCTTCTCCTGACCGTGCTACTTAAATAGGCAGTTTTAGTAGGCGTTTCCTTTGTGAATCCCTATATCGTGGAGGTCGCGTGACTGATCTGGAGAAGCTCATGTCAATGCGAAGTACAGGCCTTGGAATGTTTGATATCCATGCTGTGATTCATTTCTTGGAAATAAGAACATTTTAGAATCGCACCTTTTTTTAACGTAGCAAAGAATTTATTTTAACCCGCGCACCGACGGGGGTCTGCGCCAACTTAGTACCGACGGGGGGGGGCGGATGACCGCCCCCCCCTGAGATCTCGAGAACGAAGCAAGATAGCGACAAGCGGTAAACGGCATCGGATACGCACGGACAAGGTCTACAATTTTTACAAAGGTCATTTTCAGGTCAGGTCAAAGATGACGTCACAGGGGTCGAAAAAGTCAAAATGGCGGCGCTAGATATGGAGAGGGTTTTTCTCGAATAACTTTCGAAGTAGTCAAGATAGGAACAAACTAAGGGCATCATCGTGATCCTCTCGTCAATCCGCATCGAATGATATATATGTTGACCTCGAAAGGTCAAGGTCAAAGGTTGACCTCAGGTCACGTGACCTCGAGGTCATCATGTATATCATTCGATGCGTCTTGACGAGCTGAACACAATGAGACCATCCGCGCGGCTGTATCTTGTTCCTGTAAGGAGTTATTGGCAAAAAACCTTTGGTGACCTTTGATGACGTCACATGACCTTACAGCTGCCCAACAGCAAAACAGACCTCAAGGTAGTGAAGGTTGATCGTATGTGAAGTCATGTATGGTATATGGGGCCATTCCGACCCGTTTTAGTGGTAAAAACAGGGAGTTGATTTTTCCCCCATTGACTTATAATGGGGAGGTCGTGAAATTGACCTGACCTTAGGTCACCGACATCAAAATTCCGAGATATACAAATTGTAGCTACTAATGACCTAATAACATCCTGCGACTTTCAAAGGCCTCCGACATCTACTGTAGCTCTGGCACGGTGACAAAGTTGCAAAAAAGTGACTTGAGGTTGGG